CCGTGCCCTGCAGACACCCACCGAGACAAAAACACAGTGACAGAGAACCTGCAGTGGAAATTCATACTGGTTTACTTGTCTGAGTCGTTTGAAGCTGCTGTAAAATACTCAGTGTAAACAAACAACACCACCCACCTTCAGTGTTAAAGGGCCCATATCATGGAAAACCATACTATCCTATGGCATCTTCTCTATGTGTCCATATCTTCTTAAACTCTCCTTTAAAGGCTCTTCATATAACATGATCCTCATATGTTTCATATCTAAATGCTCCGTTATCTTCATCACTACTTTCCAAAACCGCTGCAGCAGCTTCAGCAGCTGTAAACTCTCTGCACGCCGTTACACATGAGTCTCCGATGTGGACTGAATGAAGAATGAAGGGTTTCCGGCGTGATGGTCAGTCCTTAGTGATTTCCTGAGTGTCCATCTGTCAGTTTCACACAGAATGTAGACGGACACACGAATCTACCAGCTCCACACGGTGAGAGGCAGATGAGGTGTATCTCAGCCCCTCTTCATAGGCTCATAACTCCGGATGTGAGTCTCGTATGATCTCGTGATAAGATGGACTGGAAAGGGCGACTCTACAGATTCAGGAAGTGTTTGAACTGGATTTCTGTGCTTATCTAGATCACCATATCTAGATCACTTTATCAGTACCAGCACACTTCCTTTGAATTTCTGTTTTTCTTTTTTATGCATCAAATCGTCCAGCAGTACGCAATTAGAAAGCTTGAAATCTCAGGATTCGACTCTAATATATCCCAGACCTTCACCTGTGCCGTTGTTATGAGTTAATCAGTGTTATTGGCTCATCTGTGTGTATTATATTATTACAGTGTTATGTTATTAAAATATATTACCGTATGTTAGTGTCTGCCCTGTGATGGACTGGCGACCTGTCCAGGGTGTATCCTGACTTCCGCCCAATGACAGCTGGGATAGGCTCCAGCACCCCACCGTGACCCAGAAGGATAAGCGGTTTAGATGATGGATGGATGGATGGATGTTAGTGTCTAACAGTCATATTAGAGATGTGAAAAAGTCTGAATGTTTAAATCCATTTTAAATGACCAGCCTCCGGCCTTAGAATCACTTTTATTAAGCAATAATTGCAAGTTATTTTGCGATAATTGGCTTTTTACATTACAAGCTAATTATTGCAAAATCACACAAAATGAGTATTTACTTCGTTAAGCCTTAATCAATATCAGGTCAGTAAGTTAAATTAAAGCTCAGCGGCCTGGAAAGATTGATTTCTGACTGTGTGGGGATTCTGCAGTGTTAGCTCAGCAATCACACACACACACACACACACGCATACACACACACACACTTTCCTACCTATTACACTAATAACTCTGTCCTGTAGGCTGTTACAGTGACTTTAACTGAGCTGTTTTGGTTCCTATAACATACCAGCGGGAAATGAGCTCTAAAATGAGCAGAAAAGATCAATATTTAAGTGTGTTCTTTATTAAGTTTAGGATTTATAAATTTTACTTACTTGACTGAGGGTTTTTAAACTTTTATAAGAAAATATAACTACAGGATTTAACCAATATATATACACATACAGTAAAGTAAAAATATAACATTATAGTATGCTGAAAATATGATATAAAAAAATAAATAAAGGTATTTTTATTATTATATAATTATATCATATAATAATAATAATAATATAGAATTATATAAATATTATTATTTTTGTTTTTTTATAAAAAATAATAAAAAAGCTACAATATAGATATTGTGAACAAAGTAGTAAAAATGTAACTACAGTGTTGCACATCATTGGGAAAAAGGGGAAGTATAACTACATTATAAGACAAATGGGAACAAATATAGTAAAAATATAACTACTATAATATATCACTGTAGAGAAAGAAAAATGTACAGTATAATGTAGAAAAAATAATGTAAATAAATATACTGTATATAATATAATACTATATATAATATCACTGTAAAAAAGGGAAACAATATAACTACAATACAACTGAAAAACAGGAGAAAATATGAGTGTAATATAACATATCAGTGGAAAAATTATCCATGAAATATTTGTAATAAGGTAAAATGATGTATGAATGTTGTGGTATTATGCTGAAGTGACTTTGAGAATGATAAATATGAGTATAATATAATGTACCTTGTTTGTAATGCACTGTATTGTATTATGTATAATTAGCGTATTGTTTATGATGTGTTCTGTGTTTTGTGTTGATTATGCTGAATATGTTTATTACGTATATGTGATGTATGAATGTCTGTGTTCCGCCTCCCTCAGTTCCGCGTGTTCACGGCTCCGTTCCACCGGGTTGAATTTGCGGATTTCTGGCTGGCGGATCAGCTGAACTCTCTGGTGATCGTGCTGATGGATCTGGAGTATCTGGTGTGTTTCTACAGCATGGAGCTGCAGTGGACTGAAGTGGACGGACTGCTGCCCCACAGCACAGGTCCCGGCTGCTGACCAGACGCTGTTTTACCGTTTTTAATATTACCGTTTTTTTAAATTAGACAAAGATAAACGCTGATAAATGCTGTTTTTAAATGATGATTTAATTTATTAAAGGAAAAATGCTGTTCAGCCCTACCTGGCCCTGTGTGAACAAGTAAATGCCCCCTTAGCTACTAAATCAACCAGTTGACCAAATTCAATTGAATGTTTGGGTTCAGTTTTACTGCCACACCCAGACATGATCACTGCCAGACCTGTTGAATCTAAACATCACTTAAATAGAACCTGTCTGGCAAAGTGAAGCAGCTAGAAGGTCTCAAAAAAGCAGCACATGATGCCACGTTCTAAAGAGATTCAAATACAGATGTGAAACAAAGTCATTGAACTCTACCATCTGGAAAGGGTTCCACAGCCATTGCTGAGGCTCTGGGACTCCAGAGAACCACAATGAGAGCCGTTTTCCACAAATGGAGGAAATCTGTAACAGTGGTGGACCTTCCCAGGAGCGGCCGGCCTACCAAAATTTCACCAACAGCGCATCGACGACTCATCCAGGAGGTCACAAAAGAACCCAGACAAACATCTAAAGAACTGCAGGCCTCACTTTCCTCAGTTAAGGTCAATGTACATGATTCCGCAATAAGAAAGACACTGGACAAAAATGCCATCCATGGGAGAGTCGCAAGGTCCAAACCACTGCTGACCAAAAACAACACGAAGGCTCGTCTCGCATTTGCCAAAAAAAACCTCTAGATGACCCCCAAGACTTTTGGGATAATATTCTGTGGACTGATCAAAAGTGGGACTTTTACATCTGGCATAAAGCTAACAACGCATTCCACCATAAGAACACCAACAGTGAAACATGGTGGTGGTAGTGTGATGGTCTGGGGCTGCTTTGCTTCCGCAGGATCTGGACGACTTGTCATAATTGATGGAACCAATTATTACTAATTATTCTGCTCCTTATGAGAAAATCCTGAAGGAGAATGTCCACCTGTCAGTTCATGACCTAAAGATTAAGCACAGTTGGGTTATGCTGCAGATGCACACAAGCAAGTCCCAGTCAGGATTTTCTTCTGTAATATGAATTTGTGAAAAATCTTATCTTGACCCGTCAGATCTTAACCTAGATAGGAATCCTGAGATTTCAAAAGATAGGAAGTTTCTGTAATGCGACTCCAACCAGAACCAGAAAAATACTGTTATTAATAATATTAATATATATATATATATATATATATATATATACATTTACACCGATCAGGCATAACATTCTGACCACCCTTCGTGTTTCTACGCTCATTGTCCATTTTATCAGCTCCACTTACTATATAGGTGCACTTTGTAGTTCTACAGTTACAGACTGTAGTCCATCTGTTTCTCTGATACTTTGTTAGCCCCCTTTTACCCTGATCTTCAGTGGTCAGGACCCCCATGGACCCTCACAGAGCAAGTACTATTTGGGTGGTGGGTCATTCTCAGCACTGCAGTAACACTGACGTGGTGGTGGTGTGTTAGTGTGTGTTGTGCTGGTCTGAGTGGATCAGACACAGCAGTGCTTCTGGAGTTTTTAAACACTGTGTCCACTCACTGTCCACTCTATTAGACACTCCTACCTTGTCAGTCCACCTTGTAGATGTAAAGTCAGAGACGATAGCTCATCTGCTGCTGCACAGTTTGTGTTGGTCATCCTCTAATCCTTCATCAGTGGTCACAGGACGCTGCCCACAGGACGCTGTTGGCTGGATATTTTTGGACTATTCTCAGTCCAGCAGTGACACTGAGGTGTTTAAAAACTCCAGCAGCACTGCTGTGTCTGATCCACTCAGACCAGCACAACACACACTAACACACCACCACCACGTCAGTGTTACTGCAGTGCTGAGAATGATCCACCACCCAAATAGTACCTGCTCTGTGAGGGTCCATGGGGGTCCTGACCACTGAAGAACAGGGTAAAAGGGGGCTAACAAAGTATCAGAGAAACAGATGGACTACAGTCTGTAACTGTAGAACTACAAAGTGCACCTATATAGTAAGTGGAGCTGATAAAATGGACAGTGAGCGTAGAAACAAGGAGGTGTAAATAAAACTATGAAATGTACTGTTGTACACATTCCCGTATGTGCAGTTAGTCTGAGGTAGATAAATAAATGAGATTCTTTTTCCAAAGGGGGTAGAATATGACGGCCCGGGGGAGGAAACTGTCTCAGAACTAGATTAGACTAGATCTCATTGTGCAGTATGTGTACAGTTCAGTGAGTAATTGGCTGTTTACCTGTGCTGCAGGTGATGGGAAATGCCACAGTTACTCTTACGGACTGCGCGCCATCATCCAGTGTTTACCTGCCTGGCTCCGATTCGTACAGTGTCTCAGACGCTACCGAGACACCAAAAGAGCCTTTCCACACCTGGTGAATGCTGGGAAATATTCCACGACTTTCTTTGTGGTGGCGTTCGCAGCCCTCTACAGTACGCACAGAGGTAAGAGCTACAGGTTTACCTGAGATACAGAATACACACCTGAGACACAGATTACACAGATACAGATTACATTCCTGAGATACATTTGACACACCTGAGACACAGATTACACACCTGAGACACAGATTACACACCTGAGATACAGATTACACACCTGAGACACAGATTACACACCTGAGACACAGATTACACACCTGAGATACAGATTACACACCTGAGACACAGATTACACACCTGAGACACAGATTACACACCTGAGACACAGATTACACACCTGAGATACAGATTACACACCTGAGACACAGATTACACACCTGAGATACAGATTACACACCTGAAACACAGATTACACACCTGAGATACAGATTACACACCTGAGATACAGATTACACACCTGAAACACAGATTACACACCTGAGATACAGAATACACACCTGAGATACAGATTACACACCTGAGATACAGATTACACACCTGAAACACAGATTACACACCTGAAACACAGATTGCACACCTGAGATACAGATTACACACCTGAGATACAGATTACACACCTGAGATACAGATTACACACCTGAAACACAGATTACACACCTGAAACACAGATTACACACCTGAGATACAGATTACACAGATACAGATTACATTCCTGAGATACATTTGACACACATGAGATAAAGATTACACTCCTGAAACACAGATTACACACCTGAGATACAGATTACACACCTGAGATACAGATTACATACCTGAGATACAGATTACACACCTGAGATACAGATTACACACCTGAAACACAGATTACACACCTGAAACACAGATTGCACACCTGAGATACAGATTACACACCTGAGATACAGATTACACACCTGAAACACAGATTACACACCTGAAACACAGATTACACACCTGAGATACAGATTACACACCTGAGATACAGAATACACACCTGAGACACAGATTACACAGATACAGATTACACACCTGAGATACAGATTACACACCTGAGACACAGATTACACACCTGAGATACATATTACACACCTGAGACACAGATTACACACCTGAGATACAGATTACACACCTGAGATACAGAATACACACCTGAGACACAGATTACACAGATACAGATTACACACCTGAGATACAGATTACACACCTGAGACACAGATTACACACCTGAGATACATATTACACACCTGAGACACAGATTACACACCTGAGATACATATTACACACCTGAGACACAGATTACACACCTGAGACACAGACTACACATCTGAGATACAGATTACACACCTGAGACACAGATTACACACCTGAGATACATATTACACACCTCAGATACTGATTACACACCTGAGGTACAGATTACACACATGAGATACAGAATACACATCTGAGACACAGATTACACATCTGAGATACAGATCACACACCTGAGACACAGATTACACACCTGAGATACAGACTACACATCTGAGATACAGATTACACACCTGAGACACAGATTACACACCTGAGATACATATTACACACCTCAGATACTGATTACACACCTGAGGTACAGATTACACACATGAGATACAGACTACACATCTGAGATACAGATCACACACCTGAGACACAGATTACACACCTGAGATACAGATTACACACCTGAGGTACAGATTACACACCTCAGATACTGATTACACACCTGAGGTACAGATTACACACCTGAGACACAGATTACACACCTGAGATACATATTACACACCTCAGATACTGATTACACACCTGAGGTACAGATTACACACCTGAGACACAGATTACACACCTCAGATACAGATTACACACCTGAGGTACAGATTACACACCTCAGATACTGATTACACACCTGAGGTACAGATTACACACCTCAGATACAGATTACACACCTGAGGTACAGATTACACACCTCAGATACTGATTACACACCTGAGGTACAGATTACACACCTGAGACACAGACTACACATCTGAGATACAGATTACACACCTGAGACACAGATTACACACCTCAGATACTGATTACACACCTGAGGTACAGATTACACACCTCAGATACTGATTACACACCTGAGGTACAGATTAGACACCTGAGATACAGATCACACCCCTGAAACAGAAATTACACACAAGATACAGTTTACACTCTTGAAATACAGATTACACACCTGTGACACAGATTACAGACATGAGATACACTTCATCATGAATGGGTGGGGCTAAAAGTGGGTGGTGATACTGAAATGTGTTCATGGTTGTAACATCACAAGCATAATTAATAAAATAGACTGTATGGATTTGAGAATGAACGGCTTATTTTGAACTGTTCCAATATTTACATAGAACAGTTTTACGTTTTTGAGTAATTCTATTAAGGAACGTGTGTTTTTCCACGATACGGGCCCTTTAATGTATTTTTGCCGGTAGTGGTGGACAGAGTACTGGTCTCTGAGGGAGATGCAGTTTGTCAGTGAAGGAGAGTTTTCTAAGGGCAGGGGGAGAAAAGGCGACCCTAAAGGACAAAAATACAAAAAACTTGCATTCGTCTACATCAGATATCCTGCAGAGTCTCTTCAAACATTCATCTCTCTCTCTCTCTCTCTCTCTCTCTCTCTCTCTCTCTCCCTCTCTCTCTCTCTCTCTCTCTCTCTCTCTCTCTCTCTCTCTCCCTCTCTCTCCCCCCAGTAACTCACTCTCTGAACTCATATCTTCTCGGAAACAGGACTTCAGTCCGAATCGATTGTTTCAAAGCGCTCCGCTAAGCCGCTTGATCCATTTCATTATTTATATCCATGAGTTCGTCTAGTAATTTATTTATTTTTTTTAAATGTCAGCCTTTTAAATTTAAGCCACGGCGAAATGTTTCTCTGCCGCGTTTAATGTTTTACTCTTTCTGTTTAAATTGAACATGATGTGCAGTTCAGCCTGAGTGATGCTGGCTATTGTATTTCTGTCAGGATCCTCAGTCTAACCTGTTTATTATTCAGTCAGATATCAGAGCATCTTTCAGAGAGCGAGCCTTGTTTGGAGCAGTGATGCAGACCAGCTTCAGGCGACGTTTGGATAAAAACATTTCTAGGTAGATGGTGTGATGTTCCTGGAGAGTAGCAGCCGTGCGCTTTACTGAAAGCTTTTAACAGACAGTAAGGTGAAGGTCCAGTTTGAGGAAATGCATAACCGCCACCTTAAGCTTTGTATTAAGAGTAATTATTTAACCCATAATAACAATTACGTGCCTCATATCGCAATATATTAAGGTAAATTAGGTAGTTCAGAGTGGTTTGGTCAGAACTGTTCACAGTGGTGGTGATAGGAACCAGACGTCCACCTCTAAAAGCTCCCTCACAGAAAGTTACTACATGAAATGGTTATGAATTCACTGATATCTGAGACATTCCTCTCAAAAAGAGTTGAGTATTTTTCGCGGGTCTAAAAGATACATATTCGTAAGTAAATACATGAACTTCATATGAGTAATATGTAAAATAATAATATGGCACATGATCACATTTTTTGACATCTGATCATGTTTTTTCACATGATCATGCTTTTCCATGTTATCACACGTGATGGCACATTTTTCCACAGACGTTTTTTTTTAGACGTATGTAAAAAAAACGTTAGGTGTCTAAATCTATGTGTTGAATCATGTTTTTAGCGAAATGTCTGGCCTAAAACATAATTTGCTCATTCATGGTGGAGGGTGCATGAAGGGCACTGTGAGACAAAATAATCCTAAAAGGTTTTTTTTTGTTTTGTTATACTAACATCAACATTACATATAATAACATATCGGACAGTAAATAAAATATTTAATTGAATGTATTTAAAGGCTGACAGGCTTGATATGTCCATGTTTCTCAGCATGAGAAAGTGAAAATATACAACCATGAGCTTGGGGCTAACTTCACATGAAAACATGACATGACATGACATAACAACATAACGTCATTAAATAACGTGACATGACGTGACATAACAGCATGACATGACATGACATAACGTAACATAATATAACATGACATGACATAACATAACATACATACATCCATCATCTAAACCGCTTATCCTTCTGGGTCGCGGTGGGGTGCTGGAGCCTATCCCAGCTGTCATTGGGCGGAAGGCAGGATACACCCTGGACAGGTCGCCAGTCCATCACAGGGCAGACAGACAGACATACACAGTCACACACACTCACACCTAGGGGCAATTCAGCATGTCCAATCAGCCTGACTTCATGTTTTTGGACTGTGGGAGGAAACCGGAGTACCGGCCATTCTTACTGTGAGGCAACAGCGCTACCCACTGCGCCACCATGCCGCCCATAACATAACATAATGTCATTAAATAACATAGCATGACATAACATGACATAATGCAACACAGTATAACATGACATGGCATAACATGACATGACATAACGTTAAATAACATGACATGACATAACATAACATGACATGACATAAGGATGATGGCATTTCTACGCATTATAGTAACAGATAAAAATGCTACTTAGATGTGAATCTTTATGCATTAAACAGTGAAATAAAGTACACATTAGGTGAATGTTCATAATTATATGATGAAAAGTTAAAAAGTCCATAAAGTCACTGAGCATCTTGTGCTTTATTGGAGCTGAGCTCATATCAGAGCTCTCGTGTTTATTCATAACAGTATCAGATATTTTCAGTTGGGAATGGGACACTCAAAAAAATTAGCTTAAAAATTCAAACATCTGGGTGTGGTGGTCCTCCCTCTCCCCCCTCACTCAGTGCTAGCCAGTGCAGACGCCTGTTAGGACGTGGTGGGGCTTCACGTTTCTCAGAGGAAGAACGTTCTAGACTTCACTCTCCCATCTTAATAGCATCATGAGATAAAGAAGCTCTAACTAACAGGTGAAGACAGCCCTGCATTTATTTCATTTCCAGCCAAAACTCACTTGTTTTTCTTTTGACTTTCTCCTTCTTTATG